TTTTTTTTTGAAAAAATCCCTGTACCCCCCATCAGGGATGGTCTTCTCAATAATGACAATTTTTTCGATAACTCAGCCATTTCTTGACGGATCCTGCTCATCTTCGAACTCGACCGAGACATTGTTAAGACTGAACTGTGTAGAAAATTTCATCACGATCCGACTCTCCTTTCGAAAGTTATCGGATAAACGGACGGACACACTGACCGATTTTAGTAGTGTACTCACTTTTTGAGTACACAAAAAGCATAAACATGTAATTAAATTAGTTTTTTTTTCACAATAACACAAATATAAAATTTCCTATCGAATTGTTATCAATCTAAACAAGCTCTCCTGTCAGGTCGCATATCAATTTGGCAGCTCTAGTACAAATATCTATGTCTATATGGATATTTATATACAAAGTAAAAAAAGTCTAGACATCACATACGTCAATAATTCCACAAGCACATCGAGAATTTTTCTTTAATGATCACTCAAGAAGAATAAGCATTTCATAATTTGACCTTGTTTTAGTAATAATATCGCGTGGAGGAGAAACAGCATAAGATTTCAATTTTGAAGTCTTCTATTTTCCTTTCGAATAAAATCTATAAAAAATAACTTACTATCAGGTATAGTCATACGAGCAACACGTTCCATTAATTCATCAATAATAACAAATGGACCCTATTATAATAACAAATAGAACATTCATTGTGTTTTTTTTTCTTTTAACTTGAAAAAGTTATTTACTTCAAAATTTCTTGATGGTGGAAGAACTTTAACAAGATAAAGTGCTGTGTCAGGCAATGGAAAAACTCCACCAGGTGTTGGATGACTACCTGGTAATGGATTTCGTGTTGGTCGAAATGGCATCATATGTTTAATATCAGGTCGAGGTAAAATAGCTCGACGATCTCGTACAACTTGTTCTAATAATGCTGTACCATTAACAATTGTACCATTACTTAATAATGATGTATTTGTTGATGATAAATTCATATGTGATAAATCTTTATAACCAAGTAATTTAAGTTCATCAATTGAACATGGTAATAAATTAAGAAATTTATAACGATCAACAAGTAATAATGTTTCTCGACCTTCTAATTCATTTAATTCTGAATAAATTTTTAAACGTCGTTTTTCAACTTTTTTTATTGATTGTAAATCACCAACTTGGGATTCAAATTTAAGAAATTCATTCCATATTGTTGGTTGTAATTGTTTTAATATAGGATTATTTGGTGATAATATACGTTCAAATAAAACACGTGCATTATGATCTTCATTTAAATGTGTCATATAATCAATATAAGCTAATATATAATCAAGATTTTGACTATATTTTTTTAAACCAAGATTAAATATATTAAATGCAATATTATTATCTTTTGTACAATAATATTCCATTAATGCAGCTGCAACATATATTTGATGATTTGTACGTGTATCTTCACGTGCACGTTTAAATATTGCACGTGCTGATTTAATACCATCTGTACGTCGTTCAAAACGCATTGCTTGTATATAAGCTAATGTTGGATCTTTTAAATTAGCTTCATTTACATCTAATAAACGATTATATATTGAACGTGCTTTATCAATATTTAAACGTTGTTCTTCAAAATCAGTATAGGCAAAATGTATAAGCATATTTGAACGCATATATGTTTGTAATGCACGTTCATATAATATAGCTGCATCATCAAGAAAACGTTTTGCTAATTGAGCATCACCTTTTTCAGAATATTCACGTGAAGTTTGGTCTAAATATGCACATGCTTCATACCTAAATAAATAACAAAGAAATGAATTTTTTTTTTTATTAAACTTAAGTGTTTAGATTCGGAACTCGAATTTGTTTGAATTATTTAGATACTTTTTAGAATAGTTTGTATCTAATGGAGAGTTCTCGAATTCGACTAATTTTCTTTCAAAGCGTTTATTCCGAGTGTGATAAAAATTTACATAATAATCAAGGATAGCGATTTTTTTTTATAGAGAATATGAGTTTTAATCCATTGGCGATGTACATTTTAAAATTGACTATTCGCTTTTGTTATCTGCATGAAAATAATCTTTCAAGATGCCAAATTTCGATTTCAATTATAGGTTTTTACATACTGTTTTAGTGAAATTCATGCAAGGGTCTGAGTTCCTATTGAGACTTCATATCTTCAAGCTATGAGTTTTTCAAAAATACACGCTTTTCGAAGCGTAGGGAATAATACACGAATATTTTGAAAAGTTCGTCTCTTGGATATAGAGAATCTACAAACTCTGAAGCTCTTCAAAAAGCTTTTTTGAGTTCTAATTTTTCTTCTTTAATATTCTTTATACAAATCGATAAAGTTTTGGAATCCCAATAATGTCTCTTCTCAAGGCCTACATTCATAAGAAGAATTCGGCGACAGTCTTGCAACTCATCATTTAAACAAGAACCTATAGGGCTTAATCTAATTTACTGACAGGCAATTAAAAGAACTCCAATCACTTCTACAAATGATTCTGATGTAAATATTTATCCCATAACTATATCTGTAACGATTATTTATAACCTGTCACTTTAATATAAAAGCATAATAAATTTCTTTGCACTTTGTCTCATGTTGATCAAAACCTACCAAAGATCAGCATGATAACCAAGACAAAGTAAACATTGCTCATAAGCTAAAACAACTCGACGAATAACAAGTAATGCATCTTCAGTTTTTAATGGATTTGATCGTTCCCATGAAATAAATTTTCTCCAAGCAGTTATTTGTTTAATTTCATCAGCTGCTTGTGGTGATGTTGGTGGTATACATGGCATATTACGATCAATAGTACGTACTAATGTTTCAAATTCTTTTGTAACTCTTTTAACATTTGAAAATTCTCGAGAACGTTCATCAATTATTTTTTTCGCTAACATTTGATTAATACCCTAATAATAATAATTAATTTAATATTGACATTTAATTAAGATAATTTTTGACATACCATTTCATATGTACAATATTCTTTCCATAATAATTCTACATTTGTCATTGGTGTCATAATACCTTTTTGATAGACTTTTCGAACGGCTGTCATTTTTTTATTTTCAGCATCAGAACCAACAGCTTCACTTTAAATTATAAAAGAATTTTATCATATGTAAGTCAATATGATTTTCTACTCTCTTTCCATTTGATTTACAATATCTCGTTAAACGAGAATTAATAGATTTTTATTTTATTTTTCTTATATTATACTTACACAGATTTAAGAAAAATAATATAATCATTCCAAATACTATATGAATAAACATCCATTCCAATTTTTTCCAATGCAAAATCATATGCTTGTGCCATTTTTTCCCTGAATAAATATATTTATATATAATAATATTCTTGCTAAAAAACGCGATAAATTTTTCAATTTGTAAATATAAATAAGGAACATAATATTTAGTCAGTAAAATAAACGAAATAATCATACTACATATATAATTAATAACAAAAAAACAAAAAGTAACTAGAATGTTCTGAAAAGTTCAATTCGCAAGAATGTTTCCTCCACAAACATATTCGAGAATTTCATATTTTTAGGGCATTTAATATCTCGTGCGGAGAACATTTTAGTTACAAGTAGGTTTATTTACGGGTAAAATTTCAGTTCAAATTATTGTCATTAAATTCCTTTGTACTTACCATACTTTAATAAAATGTATTTTCTTTGCCGGTAGTTCGCAGTACTTCAAACAAATAGTCATACGAACAACGTATTTGTATATATAGTTCTTTAAAAAAACCTGTTAGTCAATTGCATTTGTGAATTTTCAAATATCAAATAAACTAACTCTTTCGTTTCCTTTGCTTAGTTTTATGAGTGTTATTCTCTCTCACGCCTTCGGAATATTATTTATTACATTAAAGTTTGAATTAGATATCCCATTGATATGAATGAAGTTTTAGATTTCTTATTTATATTTGTATTTCAATTCAAAAATACTTTGTCAAATACGATTGTCTTCATTTTTTCAACGAATATGTATATGTTAGAAAAAAATGAATAAACCAATCGAAGAGTCAAAAGAAAAAAATAAGATTTGTTTTGTTCTTTTATTTTGTTTAAAGAACGCATAACAAATATAAAGTATTTAAAAAACAAAGGATATTTTTTTTTGTATCTATGAAACCTTGATTTATATGATCTATTTTTTTTTCTAATCAATATAATACCTAAATAAATAAGAAAAGAACGAGAAAATATTACAAACCTGAACGATGATAATTTGCCTTTTGTATCCCGAACATAATTTAAATAACATTTCCATAAATCAATATTTAATACTTTAATTAAACATCGTTGAAATAACTAAACATAAAATAAAATAAAAATATACCATTTAATTATTATAAATAACTTTGCATAAACCGTCATGTTAATACTATAGAGACAATAGGATATATTTTTCATTGTAAAAGTAAAGAAAAGCATTGTAAACTACGAGATTACTATAAAATTAAGCATTTTTCTAAGTGATGAGTGTGTCAATAAATTATACTTTTCTTTTACGATGTAGTTAATGATGATTCGATCACATGGGATGAGACTAGAAATGTGCGGAACTCGAATTTATAGTAAATCATATTAATCAGAGCATAATTCAAGAGGGGATGATTCAGAAAAAGTGCTAATTAGACTGGCACTGAAATAAAAAAAAATCTTATCCCGCATATCTCTAGATGGCATGGAAAAAAATTCTCCTTAATTAATATTAGAAAGAAAACTTTATTCTACCTCATGGGATGATATTTTTTTTTGGCCTCTACGAATCTTTGATCTCCACACATACAGGAAACCTTATAATTATACATAGTTTTTTCTTTAATTAAGAGGCAGCTGTACGAGATTTCAGTGCTAAAAGCATTATCATTTTTTCCGAAAAAGAAATTTTGATACTTCATTTTTAGTAGCATAAAAAAGATATCGTATGCATGACTTATACTCACACCTTCTCAGAAAGGCACGAATATAGATTTACATTTGGAAAAAGTTACTTTCATTACTTTTGTCTTCTTTTGGATGCTATTAGCATTTCATTCCTTCATTTTCTATCAATTGATAAACATGAACTTTGTTAAAATAACATCTGAAAATAAAGACTACGTACTTTTTCGACTTTTTCATAATTTCGATCTTTCATCTGAAATATTTCATTTTTGTTTTTCTTTTCAATAATCAAATAAAAAACTTACTTCAGATTCAATATAAATTTTCCAAAATTTTCCACATGTTGGAAATTGTGTAATAAGTGATTCATAAAATTCACGTGATTCTGTTATTTTCTTATCCTAAAATATTCTTCAATTGAAATCAATTAATTCTATTTAAACAAACTTGAGCATCTTGTATGAGTATTGACCATGCATCAAGTGAATGTTTATTTTCATTTAAAATTCTTCTTGCTTGTTGAATTTTTTCATTACGTGTTAAATCCTAATTTCAAACATAAAACAAACAAAAAAAAGTGAAATTAATATTAAAAATCTCATTTACTTCTCTTATATAAATACTCATTTTAGATAATCAAATCTGAAAGAAATATAAATCGATTCTTTTTTTTTCTATTTGGACTTTGCAGAATTTTACTGCTTCGAATAAGACGAAGAAACAAAAGAAGCTTCTTACAGATGACAAAAAAAAAAAAGAAATCAATAGTCAAAGTGGATGTTTTTGTATTTGATCAGTTAAGCATTGAACGACGAACAGAAAATAAAGCTTGAAGAAAAATATAGCCAATAACAAAAGTATAAACAAGTCGATCGCGCATATCTCGTCTTGCCAATGTTCGTTCAATACGGTGGATCTGATTTTGAAGTGATTGAAGTTTATTTAATATGTTTTTATCATCAAGTTCTGGATATGGTACAAGATTCCATCTAAAATATAATTTTTAAAATTTTCATTTTCTCTTTAGTTCGATAGATGAACCTTACTGATCACCAATTTTGATTGGTTGATTATAACCGAGTTTATCAATTGTTGTATAATCATCATCACTTGAAGGATCAACATCTAATTGATGAAATGATGTTTGTTGTGTAGTTGAACCTGATGAATGATTAGGATCATTGATTTTGGAAAATTCAGTACCATTAGGAATTTCTGTATTGGACTGACCAGCTAAAATGATAAAAGTATTTAGTAAAAAAAAGATAAGGGCATAGGATGTTTGTTTTTTTTCTAACCAAGTCGAATACTGTTAGGTACTTCCATACGAACAGGTAATCGATCATCATCTATATGAAGACGAGGTACAGATGATCGATTAGGACCAACCGTAATTGAATCGGGTACATGCATTTGATAACCTAAAAAGCAATGAAATGTAAAAATCAATTGAATTAAAAATATGACTTCAGTTGAAGTCTTCATAATTGTTTTAATTTTCTGAGTCTGTAACTGCCGTAGGATTCATTTTTATTATGTATGCGTCGCATGTAGATATGCACATTATTGTCGTATAAGAATTGTATCAAATGTTATATTCTCATGACTTATGTATTCTAAAATTGTATGCGAAAATTATTGAGTAATGATCACTTCAATGCTTGCTACTATGATTTTGATAGTAAAATTACTCTTTTTTCTTTGTAAACAAGAAGGATGTTGAACACATAAACGTATGGAATAGACGATATAAGAGATCATCGACATTGCTAGAAAATAACATCCCATTTTTCGCTAGTACATGTATTACTAAGAGCGAAACTAGAACCAAAAACGATTGATTTGGCACATCATTATGTGTATGCTTTTATTATATTCTTTTTTTATATGAACAAAGCACAGATGGTAGAATTCTAGACGACGCGCTTCAACACAATGCTTTTGTCTATAATAGAAAGTTATCATAGGCTCAAGTGCATCCATACTGTGAGTTTTGTTTTTGAAGATAATTCATAAAATTTGACAAGGCTATTATACGTTGACAACTGATTAGTGATTAGAGAAGATGAGTGTTTCCAGTAGAGGAACACTCTACCATCTTTCTACTGGAAACACGTTGAATCCACTGAAACCTCCTTCTAACGCTCATATTGGGTTGAATTTTTTTTCTGGGGATATCTTAGCTTATAGTCCAGCGATGATATTAAGTTTTTCAAAAATTTCGCTTTCGTGTTTTTTTTTATGAGAGCATAATATAAAATTTCGAACCCAAAACCGGAGTGTCAGCGTCCAGAATCCTATAAATCCGAGTTCGAAAGTCAAAAGCGAAAATGGCCGATTTCACCTCTGGAGAATACTTTCAAGCATTTTTGGTGGTAATTTCAACTCGATCGAATAAAGTTAGATGGCTATCGTAATCAGTCCTGATATGTTCCATATAAAAAACCGAAGTCAGATATTGATGTGCGTATTTGTGAAGAGAAGATCCACATCTATACCTAGACAAAGTAGTTGAGTGAAGCAACAAAAGATAAATAAGTTTTTTTTTTTTTTATTATGTATTCAATGCAATCTGTAAAGAAAATATGTTTTATATCGTTGAAATGTCATTAATCATTGAATATAAAATGAATCTCTTTTTCAATTGTCGAACGATCCATAATTTAGTGCTCTAACATAAATTTTTCTCCAGTGTATGGACGATGTCTCTTTGAAAATTGAGTTGCCCTCCTGGTCCTGGGAAAAAGAGAACCTGGATAAAATATTGATTCAACATATGTATTATCTCATATTTATCTTAAGCCGATAAAATATTTTAATCGTTCTTTGTAATACTATTGCTCTTTATTCTATTTTGATCAATTATTTAAGATTATGAAATAGAATCAACCTATGAAATGAATATAATCAGCGGCTTATACATGCTTTTATTTATCTTAATTCAAATGATTATTGAAATTTTCGTTTTCATGTAACTTTTGATAAAATCGAACGTTATATATACTGATGACATTCTCTTTCTTAGCATAAACTTTTCTTTTATAAAAATCGAGACAAAATTAATATAAACTTACTCATATTTGTAATATGATTAAGATCAATTTTTTTTCGTACCAAATCATCGGGATCATTTGCTGAATAACTCATAATAAATTTTTCTTTTTGTTTTTTTTTTAAATCTAAAATTTCTCTTTATTATAATTATCTTTTCATATGCAATTTGGAAATAGAAGAAGAAAAAAGAATAAGAATAAGAATAAGGAACAAATGCACATTATAAACGCGTAAACTTATTTAAGAAAAAAAAAAAAATTATTTAGAAATTTTGTCACTATGAATCCAACGACTGTTGTTTGAATGCAAGAGCCGATTCGGATGACCAATAAAGATTGCACGAATTATAAACTATAATTAATAAAGAAATTTCTTTTCAATAAATAAATAAATTTAAAAAAACAAAATTCTTTACCTAAACTCCAAACATAAGGCACAAAAAAGTCTTCTGGTTGTTCTTCTTCAACATATTTAAATTTTAAATCAGGAAATTTCTTAAAAGAAAATAAAATCGAATATAATTAGAGAAACAAAGTAATCCAAAACAAAAAAATACTTTTAAACGATCTAATGGAAATTGTTTGACACTTGTTTCTAATGTTTCTTTAACATATTCAGCTGAACGGTATTTTAATTGATCAATTTTTTCAGCAAAAAATGTAATTGTCTAATATACAAAAAAAAGAATAAGTAATAAAAAAACAAAAAGTTTATTACTGTATCAATATTTTGTAAAATATCTTGAAAACTTGGATGTGTTCTATAATAATCAAATATTTCTCTATTATAAAGTAATGCATAAATAAGATTAACATTATATCGAAGTGTATGTGTTAAACAAGAATTAATTATTTCTAAAATCATTCTCATCACATCTTCAATAATCGATAAATCCTGAATATATTCATTAAAATTTTCATCATTTGATGCTATTATTTGCATATTATTTGTTATTGTTGTTGGTGTTGATGATGCTGTATTTTCTTGTCGAGAGTGTTGTTGTATAAAATCTAATATTTTCGAATGTTTACGTGAAAGTGCATTAAATAATGAAATAATCCGTTGTGTTACACATGTATGTAAATTTTGAAATTGTGATGACATATTTGCTAATGTAGCTAAACAATTTGTATGAAGATATTTATCACGCATACGTGCCATATTATATTGTATCGTACGAAGAACAATAGAAATAAGTAAACCACCTAAACTTATTTCATTTATTGATCGTTCAGTATACCTGAAATAGATAATAATTTATAGATTTTTTTTTAAATAGTTGATTAAAAATAATTGTGAGAATTTAAATAGAATTGAAATTTTTTAATGTATATTTGTTTATTTTTGATTTAGGACTAGAATTTTGTACACTTAGAAAAGCTCAAAAAAACGAAGTTGAGTTAATACTCATCTTTGGAACCATCGACAACTGTTTTATGTTGAAATGAGCACTGCAGAAAAAAATGTTTATAACCTTCTCATTTCAGTAAAACCTACAGGTTAGTTCAATATTACATTTTGTAAAGACATGTCCGCTCAACAAAACGACAATTTATCAAAAAAAGCTCTTCATAACTCCTGATATTTTTTCATAAGTATAGTTTTGATCGATTTTTAGAGTTTCTTTTTGTTAAAATATTGAATTTTCAACACAGTACTTAATTTAATATCTTAACAAACAAACAAAAATATTTCGAAACTCTGAATTTGAACTTTTACAAAATAAACCTGTAAGTCATCAAGAGTTTTATAAAAATGACTCAATTTCCATGAGTCTAAGATGCACAAAGACAATTACTACTTGTACTATCATTTATTGATGTACTTTTTCATCAACCATAGCTGTGCTGACATAGAAAAAGAAAAGAATATCACTGCCTTTTACTATGGAAATGTTGCTTAGCAGCAGATTCAATAGCCCGATGTCTTCTCAATAAGTATGACTAAGTATAATTCTGGATAAAAGGCAGCCTAGTACAGAGTTCTTGCGTTTCCTATACACACTAACTAACTATACGGGCAGGTGTATATATCACAACGTAGTCAACAAGCTATCCGACAGATGATCAAAGATAAGAATCATTTTATGGCTGATGATACTCAATCTTGTGAATACGTGCTGAACAACGCAATCAATCAGTCATAGTAGTTTGTACTCACATGACTGCACAGTACATATTCAAGGTTTTTAGACCCAATAAATATGCTTATGAGTGAATACGTATCATAATACATGATAGTGACGTGGTAGAGGATTCGGTGAACGATACATTTGACGCGGAATGAGAGATAACGTGCTTAGCAAACTCATTACTTTGTTACATTACCCTCAATATTTTCGTCTTGACTTGTGGCAAACACTCAAAACTCCGTTCAAGTAGATTCAAACAGACCTATTCTTAATCAAAATATGTCGTAAAGTTAACAATTATTTTTTATTAATCAGTTTAGAAAATTATTTTAAATCTTCATCAAATTTATTTTAACACAATACTAAAGAATTGAACTAAAAAAAAATTCTCGTTTGACAATGAATAATATCGTGTCACATTCTTATCAGAAAAATATCTACATAATAATACAAAAGAAAAACGGAATATCACTCAAAAATTTAAAAAAAAACTGTCTTACACATTATACTTGTTTTTTTTTTCGATTCTAACGAGGGAACGTTCCCAATTCTCTAACCGCTTTTGACTGACGAGGGAACCGTTCGAAGTGATTCAAAGCTTTTAAGCCGATATTTTGCCGATAAGTAGAGTCCAATGAGATTAGAAAAAGCCCAAAAGGACAAGGGCCCATGGGCCTTCCTTCTCGAGTTATGGTCATTTTACTGGGTTTATCACCTATGATACGATATTCACCGAAAAATCAAATTAAGGAGTTTCGACCTGAAATTTTGCCCACAT